GAAGTTCGCCGAGTTGAAATATGTTCAACTTTTACGAATTCGCAGCGCGAATACTTGCCATGACGTCACACATTCGCGTTCGCTTTCGCTTTCGCGCCGAGTATGAACCGGGCTTTAGACACAATAACATGACAGCAATCTGCAATTTGCTTGATTGTTCAAACAATGGACACTCATCAGAAAATTGTACTTAATGCTTCTTGGCAATCAAAATAACTGACTGTAAAGTTCTGATTGCATTTGAGTTCGCTTTAAAGGTAGAGTATATCATTTGTCATTTGTGAATTTTTTTGCTTGAAGCAACAAAAGTGCTCAAAATCTAAAGACGGGTGCTTAACAACTAACCTGATGATGTTTTGCTGTATATACTGAGAAAACAATATTCTAAGATTCTCGATTTTAATTCTGTATTTAATTAAACACTGTAGCACCCGAAACCGCCCTGCATATTACGATGTACTCACTGCATTGTTCGAAACAACCCAAGCACTCCATGGTTTCATTGATTTTTCAGTGAATAAACACAATCTAATACAATGAAGTACAGGCACTAATGGGTTAAATAAGATTTGGCATTATAATTGTAACGGTAGGCCTTTACTATAATTGTACAGCGATTTTTCAAATTAAATTATTGTAATATCCAAAACTTTCTCTAGACCACGAAGAGTATTATCTTTTGTAAAACTTCACCTGTTCTCTTCATACATTTGTAAATATGTTAAGACCCGCACTCATCTCTGGCCAGATCTCTGATAAAGGCCATGATCCCTCGATCGAGGGATTATGAAATAATCATAGATTCCTGTTTTTCTCAAATGGAGCACACGACAAAAGAAAAAATTGTTGCAAATTGTTGAAAATATTGATTAACATCACCCCAACGCAAAATTCCATCTGATGAAAGGAATTAATCACAGGATTTTGAATATTTTTGCTATCAAATTAACCCATCAGCACCTGTACTACATTGTATTACATTGTGTTCATTCCCTGCTGAATCCATAAAACCATAGAGTGCTTGTGGTTTGGGGTGTTACAGTGAAAACTGATGGGTTAAGTATCTATTTAATTTCTTATTGAACATCAAGTGCTATACCTTTTTAAACAAGTGTAAATTTATAATCTTGTCAAAAGTGCAACATTATGTGTGGCTGGCCTCACATTTGTACCCTTGAGTTTCTGATGACATATTGTTATCTATTAGTCAAGAAAATTTGCCTATCCGTAAAGTAAAAGAACCAAGCAAATTATTGTCAAAAAGCTTATTTTGGATTATCAAATTTGCTCATTTGCAAATTGTTCTGTCTGGCTAGAAGAAGAAGTCAAGAAAACTGTAGGTGATTTCCAACAATCAGTCAATTGACTAATCGTTGGAAATAAAGAATTTAATTGACAAAATCATGTTTCATGATCAAAAGGTTGTGCATGGTTTTTCACTGTTTTTCGTTCAAAAAGTGTAATGGAGTACCGAGGTGAATACGTCATGCGCACAAAATGTGTGTGAAAGACATTAGCGCGTGATTCAGCCAGTGAACCAACACGCCATTCTCGCATACTCCATTCGTTTGCACCACACTTTCTGGTTCTAAATGACGTCACACTTCGGTACTCCATATTCGCTGAGCTGAAACTTCAACAGGTTCCGTTTTGAACATTCTTCTTTGGATTTTTAGTGATGTTATTACTGGAAACGAAAGAAAATGCATGAAAAACAAATGACCCCATTTGTCTTTAACACAGCAGAAATGTACTACTCAACTCCTGAGGGCAATCAAACAGACGAGATTAACATTCGTTATCATTTCCCCAAATCTCTTTCGCCGGCTACTTATTCCTTCGCCGGCTACTTATTCCTTCTCCGGCTCCTTTTCAATATCCTTCTTTTTGCATTTCAAGTCACACTGGTCCATCTTATGAAAGGCAGCTTCTGGGGGGCTTAGAAATTAAACTAGGGCAAATGTTTCAACGGGAGAAAAATACACAAACAACTGAGATGTGACTTGACTCGGGAAAACTGGATCTTTGAAGAAGCACCCAAGCGATGCTTCCTAATTGCAACATTTGGGAATGCAGGTCACGGCTGCGAAGTTACTGACGTTTATTGAATTTAAACCCACCATTACTGGATGATGTCACGGCATTAGATTGACCTGGTGTCATGCCTCGGTGTACCCTGAGGGTTATCTCAATCCATTCAAGTCTCCTTCCTCTATGCAATTGTTAGAAATGGTGCACGAACTGAATATTGGATCGACTTTTCAATTGCTAGGCTCGGGAGACTGGGCCAACTACAATACACGCGTGTTTATAGTGTTGATTGCGGGGATACTTGCTGTAATATTTGTATAGGGTACAGTACATGTACCGCACATGTATGTTTTTTCAAATTTTGAGTAAAATTTTGAAGTGTCTTTAAGATGAATGTGATAGTGGACAGGACAATGACATATGACAGTAATCGTGACAAAGATGACAATGGCGATGACAAAAATGACGGTGATAATTTGACAAAGATGACAATAATACAAAGATAATGACAATGACAAAATGACGATAATGAGATGAAGAAGATAATCAAGACAAGATGACAATAATGATGACAAAAATGACAGAATATAAGGTGACAAAGATAACAATAATGATGATGACAAAACCTGGCACTAATAATGCGACAAAGATGACTATCATAACAAGATACATTGTAACAGCGATGACAAAGATGAAAAAGATGCTTAACCCACCGTCATATTTTGGTAAAAATATTCTGGTCAAACAAAAAAGCCAAATTCAAAACTTTCTAAAACACAAGTTGACTCATCATCTCTCCGCTGTAACATTCATGTTCACAATACTTTACTTTCATTTGCTGACGGCAGTTACGTGTACCACTTCGCCATGTTTATTTGCAGAGCATAAACGCTCACTGGAAACAGGTTCCATAAAATGGGTCATGTACACTTACATGGAGTAAAGAGGAATCATGTAAAGTTTTTTTTTTTTCATGGACAAGCATTAGTGGGCAGTAAATTTACTGAAACGGAAGACGTTTTGCCACTGCTTGTGCAAACTGTTCAATCTCAAGTGACAGGGGACGGCATGTACGGATACATCCACACAGATCGAGGGACATGGAGTGGGCGATGACGAGACGTGGAAATGATGACTTGGGTTATGGCATGATGGGATACACGATACGATTCAGAATATTCTTGGTGATTCCTTCACGATCTGAAAAACAAGATTGGTTTTTGGGGCGTACATGGAGAGCGCAAGGGCTTGCTTCTCCAGACCAGGTGTTTACTTGGACACATTGATGAAGCACCCTATTTTTAATATTTTTTTTTTACAAAGTAATGGCTTTACCACTATCACATCTTAAGTGTGGTTTGTGTACATTATTGTGATTAATTAATGTCTGGGAACCATTACTGTTTAAGGCCCAAAAAAAAAATATTCCGTCTCTGGTCAGACCAAAGTTCCGGAATTGACGCGGCCACGCGGCTTTTCTTTTTTTTTTCTTTAAGCTTGGATTGTACAGACAAGGTGGGGTACTATTTTGCTTTTTTGGTGTCTTCATGTACATTGGTGTCCTCCATAATTTGCCTTGGTGCAATTTCCCATTCCTTGGTGCTCTTTGGTAAAAGTAAAAAAAATTGAGGAGGTGCGGAAATAGAGGGCGCTGTTGGAGCTACCGCGGAACATTTTGGAAAAAAAAAGATCGACGCGCATGATTAAAATCGACGCGCGCGCTGACCAGAGACCAACTTATTTTTTTTTTGGCCTAAGAGGAAATTCCAGACAGGTGGTTTCTTGCATAAAGAATATACACTAGAATATACACATACATGTATTATAGCTAAAAAATGATATACACTGTACGTGTATATGATAAACCTTTTGGCCAAGTTAGGATCAGATGCCAACATGTGTGCAAGGTACGACGTTCAAAATTTTTTTTAATACCAAGGAGGTACCGGTACATCCAATGCAAGAAAAGGACTTTATCAATCAGATGTTTAGTTTTTTGTACCCACATTTTCAGATTTAGATTTGACCAATACTCCACCAATACTATTCCGTCTTCAGACCAAAACAATGCTCAAAATGTTTGTTTCTGGTAAGTTACAAGTCTCAGACCATGTACCGGTACAGTAATTACAATCCTTAGGAGGAAAAAAAATCAATTCTAGCCCCTTGGAGAACACACACTATACATGTACATGAGTACAGTCACTGCTAAAAGTATTGGTGATGTCATACAGAAGGTACATAAGAATGCACAGTCTGAGCCTGTGGCTTACATGTAGATGAGTCATAGAAAAGCCTGTTGGAGAACAGGACAACGAAAGATTTTCTCTTCAAGCTAACATCCAGCATCTTGCGCTGAGTTTATCAGACTGTCAGACAGGAGCTTTCAAAGGCAAGACTTTCTAACTGAGCTCAAGATTAATTCAAAGGGTTTTGCTCTGTGTGATACATGCTTAGGCAAACTGGAAGAGGCAACACTCACAGGGTAAAAGATTAACATGGAGTTGCGAAGGTTAGGGTTAAGCGAATTAGCTCTAACTTCCTAGACAATTTTTTCTGCTGGAGACCTTCAACGATAAATTCGTTATGCATTCAAGAAGCATCAAGTTCAATCATTCCATATCTCCTCAATGCAACAACCTAACAAGCATGGTCAAGCTGCTGCAGTGACTGTAGTAGAGGGCGCTGTCAACAAGATGAATCAAATCCAGTCTCGGGAACTTTGGCAGCGCTACCCTGGTAATTCCCGCCATACTTCATGCACGCACATTTATAAGACATCTCGTTGATATAGGACCCTCTACCGCCATGCAGCAGCTTGACTGCATTTGCCAGGGATCAGGGCAACCAAAAACAAATCCAGTCTTGAAACAAGACAATTTCAATCCTGCAAAATCCTCCAGCACCTCCTGGTGGATTTTTCCAGGATCTGAGAGGGTTAGGGTTCGACAAAACTTTCGGCAACTGACCTTTCACTGTCTATAGAAACTAGTGGCTGCTCACTGGGTTGCCTGTCCAGCGCCGTTGTTTTCCACGGCACGGCTAGTCTGTCGATGGAGACTAGCGCCGAGCGACGCGGCTGCTGATCCACCAATGGGGAGTTGTTGCTCTGTTGCCGTGGTTTCTTGGGACTTTCCCGTTGCCTCCCCGCCTCCCGCTTTCTGGAAGCTTCCCTTTGTTTTTCTGTTGGGAAAAAAAACCCAGCATTTTTTTAACATTCCATGAGGATCTCTTATAAAGGAAATATATGAATTCTCTTTTAAACTTTAGGTCGAGGAATACCATAGTGAACAACATGCACCATTATCGTCCTCACTCAGCGTCCTTTAATTTATTGCTTGGAACAAACGAAGGCAGGAAAGCTTCAAACAATGGCCTCATTTGGAAGAAAAGAAAGTTTAGGTGAAGTTTTGGCTGCATTTGTATGAAGTTTGGTTAAGGAAGGGTCCTAGGTAAAAGTCTGAGGTAATTTGGGCTTTGGGAGGAAGCGTGCTGTTCTAAATGGATCAATACGAAGCAACCGTTTTTTTCTGCTGTCTTTAAAAGATCATTTGCACTGTGGCCATCTTTGTGATGTGTTAATTTGTTCGAGATGCGTGAGTAGACCTCCTGTGCATTTATTGTTAATTGATTAACATCACAAAACACACCTCAAAGATGGCTGGTGAGTGCAATCGATCTATAGCACAGGTTACTGACCAGAATTATTATTATTATTCATGGTTTATTAAAAAAAATTCAACTTGGTTGCCAGAGGCAAAATTGCATTGAATTCACAATGAGTAAAAAAAGTTAACAATAAAAAGTTAAGCTTTATTAAAAAAAAATTAATATAGATTAAACATGGACAGAGTCATTGTACAATTTCAAAAATATTACACATGTACACAAGAATTAAAAAGGTTGCCAAAGACAAAACATGCAAAGGAAGGAATGAGAAGGAAGTTGCCAAAGGTTTGGTATTTTTTTTCTAATTTCTAAACGTTTGGCTCTTGAGGGTGTTTACTGGATTTGGAAGTGGGGTTAACACGAAAAAGTTTGAGTTAGAAGGGTTAAACTCTTAAGAGAAAATCTGAAAGAAAATTCTGTTGCACAGATTTTGAAGAGTGCCGATGCTGTTTACGACAGAAATGAATGAATATCCCAGTCCATGTACTACCCTTTCACAAGTCACTTGACCAATATATCTTTCCCGCCTCTCCTTTCAAATTTGCACCTGTGAAAATATTTTCACGTTGGCAGCTCATCAACATCTATCTTTGGAATTTATAGAAACGTGTCTCCGTCGGGAGCAATGGATGTGGTCTTCTATTTTGAGCTGAATATAATGTACATCTTTAATTTTGACAAGCACCGCAGACAATTTCAATATATCAGAATACATTTAATAAAAAGGGGTCGTTGTGACCCGAACATGTACCTAATTTTTGATAAAATCTCTTATCTGCAGGGCATGCCTATTCATTCACGAACAAACCCTCCGCTGTGACATTCTACGAAACTGACACAGCCCCTTTGTAAATTTTACTCCAAAGCCACCTCTCGTGCCGTTCAATATCACGTTACCGTTCCACCTTCCTTCCCCCACGGAGGAGTCAAATTTCAATAAAGGGACCTGGACTCAATAAAAAGTTGGCGTTGTGGGAGCCCGGGCACGGCTCCCGGCTACCCATGATGCCTTTGTGATAGCCGAGAAACGCCGACAGTGACATTTTGTAATAAAAAAAAAAAAAATCTGATCGCAAGATCTTAGGAAAGGTGGGTGAGACGGTGCCCGAGAATAAAAGTGAGCCCTGTATGAGTGGCCACACGTACTGAGACTCAAATGTTGGCGTGACATTGCCGACGTTTTATTACATTATTTCTTCTCTCACATTGTTAGGACGACTTGGGTTCAAAATTCGTTTCATGGTTGTCAGATCCTTTTAGTTGGTTGCCACGACTCCCTAAGCTCCATTAGCAAGGCGCAAACATGGGCTGTACGGAGCAAAGTTTCTAGAGGAATTTTTGGCAATTAAAATGCAGAGAATGTTTTTAACTCTCTGCAAATGGTGAGCTGGCTCATAAAGGCACCCACTATGGCTTTGCAATGCACAAATTTGTCAAGCAATGTTGTAATCAATCAGTCATAATGCTGCAAAATATCATACAAAATACATGTGTACATGTACAAAGTATACATGTATCTACATGTACCGGTACCTTCACTCATCAGATAGTAAAAAAATTCTATGCGTATTTCTTCATCCCATATCATGACATTAAGTTTATCAAAATGATTCATTACATGAATTTGAATAAACTTTTAACTATATAAACAAACATACCGGGTATGTACTGGTACAATTATTATTATAAGAACAATGCCTTTAATATTTGCAACAATTTTAAACGGCATATCAAATCCACACATACATGTACATGTACACACATGTGTATCATGTAAATCTTAAACATTTTGTACTAGCAGTGCATATATATTACAAACACTATTACTTCTATTGGGAGTTCAGCAGGCAGGCAAATGAACGTACACGTCCATGTTTAAGTACACAAATGTGTATGCACGAACTACCGTGAAGTTACAAATTAACTAGTGAGTGAATAATATGAACGTGGCATCCGTTTGCCTTTTTAATGGATCCCAACCGTGCCAATATGTGTGCATGCTCATCATCCATCTGCTGATATGATATGAAGGTTACACATGTAAGGCACATACATGTACATGTGAACAAGTACATGTACATGTACATGTACATGCATGTATGTTTAATTTTTAAGAGGCATTATGATGAGCTACGTACATGTACATGTATGTATGTACCTCTCTCCACTTGTACATGTGATCAGTACATGTTTGTCAATGTTAAGTGGCATCACTATGAGCTACATGTACATGTACACTTGATGTACGGTACATGTGAAGAAGCACATGTCCATGTACACGTTTGTCATGGTTAAGTGGCATCGCTATGAGCGGATTCACCAAACATACAGGTGGGTAATACGTTAATGGCTTTTGTTCCATCAAACTCTGCTGTCAGGGGCAGATGGACGAGGGGATGAGGGCCTGCAATGATGCGGCAAGATTGAAAGTGAGGAGGCGGGGGGGGGGGGGGGGGGGAGGGAATCAGGGTGACGGTATTTTGATGTGCAACAGGAAATACTTGGGACTGGAAAAATTGCTTGAATTTGTTGCGATTTATGTCAGTGACCGAGGGCAATAGGCTTCCTTACGGGCTTCCTTTTGGGGGTGGAGCTTGGAGAAGAAGGGAAAGGGGAGGGGGGATTCCAGGGAATATTTCAATGGGGATGATAGGCAAACCATGTACTAGCTAACACTTGATCAAAAAGCCTCCACAGTTACATGTACGGGTATACACTTCTGAAAATATTCTTTTTTTGCGGGGGGATTTCTGTAATTGCCTGCAAAATTTACCCTATGGGCAATTCCAGTGATATGAAAGAAAGTGTAATGTACATGTACATGTACATGTATGCTGCAGAGCCAATAAATCATATCTAAGTAATGATTTAGAGAAAGATCCAAAAATCCTGGTCTCTATTCTCCTTGACCATTACCATAAGGACATATAAGACGTAAAAAAAAACATTTTCAGGTTAATTGACTGAGCTCTTAAATGCTCTGTCAGGGCATGGTCCCAGACGTTACATGATGCTGGAATTCCCCTGTACATCTGAAAGTCTTCTATATATACATGTAAAAGTCTTCAAGCGTTTTTTGTTTCAACAAACTAACTTCAATATCACTTCAGTTCTTTCAGGACACTTCAATGATTGCAATAACACTGGTCCAATCTAGTGTGTTTTGGTTAGGGGGCCATGAAACCACTTCAAATTCAACCCAAGACGAGTTCCCCTATACCTGTATATTCAACACAAGCAAGAAGGACACTGAGCCTGCACGGAGATTTCCTGGTGAAGCATTTACAAATGCAGTGAGAAATGATTAATGGAAAGACCGAAATTTGTTTATAGTTGGAGGAAGTCATACATCTGCTATACAGGTACACCTTTTACGCTGAAGCGCACTTAATCTCATCCCATCCATTCGATATGGGCTCTTGGTTCTGGGCAATAAATCCCACGCCGCCAGGAACGTAGACACCGAGGAAACAAGCCTCAGAGGAAAAGAGAGAGAAAATCGGAGGCCATGAGGAGGCCTTTATTGATTCCTCTTCTCCTCTCTGAGTACCTCCATCTTCCGTCTTCCTTCCTGCTCCCCCTTGCTGTCAGACGACAAAATAAAGGGGGTGATACCCCCTCTGATCCGACCCCCCCGCTTTTATCCAGAAGATGACGTCTATCAGAAAACCCAGGTGCTTATAAACAAGCTTCTTGAGAAGGGAAGGAGACCGGAATTATCGTGCCAGATTTACTCAGGAACGAGGAATTATGTTGGGATTTCGGAAGGGTTTCTCTTGTCTCTTCGAGGACAAGACTTGAATGATTACAGCTGGTTGTCATTTTCATGTCAATGTTTCATTGCTAGCGATATGACACACGTTTTGCAAGGGACCATTAAAAATTAACTTCAAGGCACAAAGCTTGTATGTGTTACTTGAATTTTAGGTACATGTATGTAATTAATGAGCACTGGCTGTGAGCAACGCTTGTGTGACTCCTCACTTTGTCAACAAACTAAGGGAGGAGAAATGAACCGTTTGGCAAGACGTACACAGCCACATGGGCGCACTCCAAATGTGCAAACAAAATAAAAAATATTGGCAATTTTGTTAATAACCAACTTCAATTTGGACCTGTTTACAGACCTTGTGCATATATATATGTGTGTGAACAAATGAGCCGTGCATTTTTACAACACTCAGGTATTGTATCTTCAACTACCGTACATGTAACTGTATGTAAGTTTCTTCAAATACCGGTACCACTGAATTTATGTGCATGCACGCAGAAATGTACGGGGAAAAAACAACTGCTGGTTACTATTTTTGTCTTTTCGTTTTCTTTCCTTTTAGCAAAGTTCACACTTTTACTGAAAAAGGAAAGATTTCTTTAAAAACTTTCAATAAAGCTTTTACTAACCAACTATGAGGTGTTACCGATATGACCTTCCACCTACATGTACCCAACACTGTTGTCCAAATAATGGTGTTCAGACCAAAAGTGTCCATGTATGGGTAAGCTGGTACAAAATC